AARKTTTYYYCMWTWWTTTKYWWTTTTCTTTTTTTTTTACTTAGAAATAAGGAGAACTCCTTTAGTCAGGTAAAAGAAATAAAACAGAGATGCCTGGGATAGAATTTCTCGTTTTGGAACTAAATGCTACTTAAGTTTGTACTGAAAGGTCTAAATATCGACATGAAACATCATGCTCTCCTTAATAGCATATTACTTCCGCACAGAAGGTTTTTTCTTTTGTTCGTTTTGTTTTATTTTTTCTAAGGAAAAGTGGAATCGTGAGCTCAATTCGTGATATTAATCCAAAGTCTCTTACTCGGTGCCATAATATGTATAAAAGTCGACGATTTGTTTTTCAGTATTCTTCGCATCTCGGGATCTTGTTTTTCATAATATTTTCAAATGTTTTATCACAGAGATCGCTGTATATCAAGTGCCTCTCCATAGGTAACTTAACTTATAACCGGAAGATAAAAACAGAACTCGCTGAGAGCCTTACCTTCGTTCTTTTTTATATTGATCCATTATCATATGTTGTTTTGGCTTGGATTATGATACATATATGTCGCCTGTGACTCTTTAAGATCGTTTTTGAAAAAATTGTTAACATCGATTTTTTCCTTCAAAACTCTGAAGCATCTAAAGTTCTTAGCTTACATGCTCTTAAGCATCTCCCATATATAATTGATATACGGACTTTTTTGTTTAGTTTACAAGAGTTAATTTTGTTTTCGGGTTTTTCGCCAATCTGCAGGTGTTCGCTCTCAATTACTTTGTCTGTCGAATCGCATGTTTTTTTAGGGATGGGTAGGGAAGCGTTAAAACAACAGTAAACTCAACAGGAAAAGGGCCGCTTGTTTAATTTTTTTGCGGCGGCAAACTATTTTGATGAACGATTTTAAAGAATAAGAGAGCATCCGTAAACTTGTTTTCACAAATTAAGATAGAAGAGGAAGTGACGAAACTAACTCCTCTCTCCCTTCCCATAGCAGCCAGTTTACTCTGTGTCTGTTATACCATGTGGTCTGCGGGAAATGATTGGCGCGGATTCAGGACAGTTTGCATGGGTCTTGTTCTTGACAGCGAGTAAATTTCATCACTTCTTTGCTTTGCGTTGTCAGTTATTTACTGTTTGTGTCCGATTAGCCGATGGAACAACAAATTCTGAGCTCGTTACCTGCGGAGATTGTTCCGTTGGGAGGCGGAACGGCAGAAATCGGGTCGAACTCGAAAGAAAGTGAACCGGTAAGTTCTGGTGACTTTTGTGGTTCAGCTACATCGTACATATCTTTGACAGTTGGTTAATTTTTATCGTTGAACACTAATATAAAATCTCAATAATATCCAACCTCATATACGCTCGACAACTCAGAGAGTTCTTGAATCCTTCCAGAGTTCTGAATCTTATTACAGTTTCATCGTAAATGTCAAGTCATGATCTGATGTATTCATGGTGTTGTTATGCCTAGCGATGTCTACCGGTCATAGTCGAAACAAAAACAAACCTTGCTTTCCAATACGCGTTTCCGAACGGAACCCGGATCTAGTTTACCCGAGTGAACTAGAGTAAAATATCGAAGACTTGATATTTGACATCTCTGGAGTGTTCTGGTAGCGTGTCTAGGGGCGATGAAATGTCTGATCATTCGCTACACTTCACTGTTTAAACTCAAACGTCGTCTTTGCGAAATTTGCAGGGATTATTAGTTCACTTGTTTCATAGGTATTTTGAGCAAAGAATGTCTATCTTTCTCTGTATTTTTGCCTCGGAAGAAAAATATGCATGCAACATTTCCGCTTTCATTTGAATTCTATGTTTACCACTCATCGTAAAGAAAAATACCTCCGTGGGCCTTGTGACGTTCGGTATGATTTTTGGCCGCATGATAAATTTTCTCACTTTCGTTTATCTGATCGGCGACAACGCGATATACTTCCGCTATGCAAAACAAGTCAAGACAAATTGCAACTGGTACACCGTCCGATTAGATGATAGTATCATATTTTGTATTGCGATAAGCTTGAGAGCTTCCTCCCGCGGCCAAACACGAACGGAATTAGTGGGGTTATCGAACGTTTCATCGATCTTTCTGCAGTGAATGGTTGTCTCGTAATAATATGAATAATGTGGCCGGAGAAAGACAGCTTACCTTTATTGTGCTTTAGACAAGTGTCAAATGTCTGACAGGTCAAGATTTGAAGTAATAATAAAATCTTGATTAAAAGTATTCATTACAAAGACACGAACCTTAAGCATTGTAGAAAAGGCGTCTATTGGAACATTGGCCAAGTAACAGTTTGTTTCTTTGATCTACGTCTTAATTACCGTTGAAATTGAATGGAATCCACTCCCGAATTTATCTGCAAAGTTTGTGGAAACACGATGTTGGCCCAAGAAACGTATCAGGTTTGAAATCGTAAACACTGTCATTCACGCAAAAAAACAATCTCGATATTCAAAGCACTTCACTGAGACGGTAGTGGGGTTTTCCTTGGAATATTTGTACTTAAAACAGTGGAGCTATGCAGTTAATTATTCATCTTTAGGCAATAGTCTAGGAATCCAAATACCGGCTTCTTTGTGGATGATAAGTGACTAAAGTGAGCGAGATTGAATGTCAGAATATTGCTACTTAAACTCACGGACGACATAAAGGGTTTACATTTGGAGATACTTAGAGATCATTGAAACTCAACACTCACATAGCTTTGGCAGGGTCAAAGTTGGAGAAGAGAAACTTGAGGATTAGTAGTGGACAGTAATTAAGTTAAATTCTAATATTGGGAACAGTATTATCTCTATTTGTTTCATCTCTGGTTCACAGGGGCACGTAACTCTTAGAGAGTTCTGACCTTAAATAATAGTCACACTGTGTTGAAAACAAGTTTAGACAGCTCGAAGTAAACTATTACCCACATTTTTACAACATATTAAGATAAATGCAACTTTTGTTTGCTAAGGAGACCACTTTGGAAAGTCACAAAAAGTGAATTTTTTTTTTCAAACTAGCATTAAGAAAAAATAAAAATTCATGAAGAAGTGAAATCTGATCTGGAATGAAAAGAGTTGTCAAACTCACATTCCAGATATGTGTGAGGCTTCTCACTCATTAGTTATGAAATAAACACATTCCTTTTCTTTTTGAAGAAAATGAACCTTACCACAATTGTTGTGGGCTAAGGTCTTTTGTTAAATAATGTTTTTTTTTTTCATTATTATAAAGGCTGGAGCACTTTTCCAAAATTAATTGGGATGAAAAAAAGAAACTTGTCATACCAACACTAGTTTTCAAAAATAGATGTTCTTATGATGTAATTGTTTGTGAATTTTATGTGTTGCTGTGGAAATTTAAAACTTTATCTTTGGCTGTTGTTATTCATCTCTAAATAAATGTTGTAGTCTCATATCTATAGTACAAAAAATAGTTTTGAGTTATTAATATTTTAGCTCCTTGGTTCAAATGAGGTTTTGGTTATTATGCTTGGAAAATAAATATTATAATTTTTGCTTAAGTCCTATATTTCTTGTAATTTATAGAATTGGTGATAATGACATAATTATATTTTCACTTTAATTAAGAAGTTTGGATCTCCTTGTTGAAACTAACCAAGATCACGTCATGTTTTCTAATTTACATTTTAAGTGTAAAATCACAAAACCACAGAGAGACAAAATGATCATCATTGCATGTAAAGCAATGGTTTTTTTGTGTAAAAAGTAGCAATAGATTTCTGTCTTATCTTTCAAAGAAAATATTTTTGAAATGTTAGTGTTACCCATTGCTTTAGTAACACAATCTTGTGGCCTGTTATGCACTCTGAAGACAAGTACTGGGACATCTGTACTGTGTGGTGTTTATGTCTTTGATCGATGATTGGCTTGATAGACAATATGAAATAAATTTAATAATGAGCTTGGATCACATAATTGAGTCTCATTTACTCTTAATGATAAAAAAGCTCATTACTCCATTTACACACTGTGTCATTCATAACCTGATTTACTCCAGATGTGATGGACTTCTATGGAATTTATGTAAGTCTCATTCAACTTTTTTGTGAGGAAGTACTAGGCAGGATATATGAAATCCTCTTTTTTTTTTGCTAGTATCTTGTGTCTATGTTGTGAATAGATGCAAATTGTGTGTGGTCTTTTGAGACAATCTTGCATTTCTGACATACATTTTTAGCTCAGAATTTCTGTGTCTGAGAATCAATTTGTACTGTGACCATCTGACAGATCTTTCCATAACCATAGCAATTTTTTCTGCTGGGTACAGTACTTCCTTCTCAATTTGAAAAACTCTTAAATGATGTATAATCTTGCAATTTGAACAGATAGAAATAAGTACAGTGTAAGTGGCAACACTTTTCCTCAATACAAATTTTAGTCATTAATTTTGAATTTGAATCAGATCACAGAGGAATTGGAAAAACAAACAGGAGTAAATCTCTTGTTATGCAACCAATTGAATATCCATGCTATGCAGGTTAAGATCTCGAGTGACTGATGTTTTGCGTAATAGCATGGAAACATTAAATCACAATGTTGTTATTTTTTTGGATTGAACGTTGAGAGTTTTTGAAGAGAATGTCCTGACACAAAACAAATGTTTTGCTTTTTTGTAAACTGTACATTTTGAAATATTTATGAATTTGTCAGTAGTTTTTCTTGCCTTAATTATTTCTTAAATGCAAAGAAAATTGCAGCATTTGAATTTGCCAGGTCTGAATGCAATTATATCTTATTTTTTTTTAAGAAAATGCGTGATGCTGTAATTCAAGGAAAGTTATTTCCGTTATTATTTCAAATGGGCCAAGGAGAGAGAAAAATTATCTGTAGACTGAATGATCATCAAGCAATGTAGCTATTGAATCCAAATTATTTCTTCAAGGAGGTACTTCTGTTAGTTACAACTTAATAGGTTTTTCTTGCTCATATTTTTTGAGTAAGAAAATTGATTATGATTATATTTAATTTCCTTACCATCATTTCACCTCATCCTTTATTATTTCAGTTTTTCATTCCCTCCTTAACTCTTTCGCTGCCAAGATCTTATGAGTAATTCTCCTTACTGTCTGCCATACAGTTGTTATAATGTTAGTTTGGAGAATTTGGTATTGGATCAACTGATAATCCCCTGATTTTCATTTTTCCTTCTTCTCATTACTTGTCTACTTGATATTGTATTGATATTGTAAGGAGAAATTCTGTCTTGGTCACTCATGAGAATTAAAGGGTTAAGTTGAAAAACGATGTGTGTGAAAGGTAGAATTGGCAGAAAATAACTTCATAACATTTATTTTGAGAAAATCCAATGAGAAATGCAGAAGGTTGTTCTGAAGTGTTGATGAAGTTGGAAAGTGATAATCATTTTGTTAAAGATTTGGAGCCACTTTATTCATGTACATAAATTCTAATTTTGTTATACTCTTTACAGTTTGTGTAAATACAAAAAAACATATGTACGGCACAGAAATAAGCTTTCTACATCTGTTACTTCACTTTTAGATTTATCTTTTTTTGAAAGCAGAACTTAGTGTTATCTGGTGTTAAGTAACAACTGAAGCCAAAGTACTCTTTGAATGAAGGGACAGAAAATGTAATTTTTGTAGAAGCACATAACTGTATGACCTTTCATCTTTGAAATAAGAAACTCATTTTTTTTAATCAGTAGTGCTTGCAAGGTGAAATTTCCCATGAATAATGGTGAAACTTTATATTAAAAGTACTCTGCTATGATGATCATCAAAAAGCAGTTATGAGATGTTAAATGTAAATTTGTGTTTAGGTAAGAATGGTACATTAATTATAACCATTAAGGGCTTAATGGAACACAATTAAACTGTGCTACAAGGTCAGTCATATCTCAACTTTAATTTCAACCTAAGAAAAGTTTATTTCAACTGTCTTAAAAGATTTACACCTTGAAGAATGGACTGAGTAGAGGAAAGAACCATTTTCCCTCACATCTGTTTTGCTCTGCGATTGAGTACCAAATTTAGTGACCCATGACCCAATTTATCTTTGAATGTGACAACAGCCCCAGTGGTGATGTTATGACGTGATTAACATACAAATTCTCTGAATACAGTTGTCTTGTTGCCATTTGTTTTGTTTGGAGAATTTCTAGTGAATGTATGCTACTAGTTTGTTTAGTTTTCTTTTTAATAGCCATGGTTGACATGATCAGATGTCTGTAGTTTGTGTTTTGCAAACAGTTACCAACTTTGTCAGTGTGAATTTACATTTTTTTTTTTTTTTAAAATAAAGTTTCAGTGAGAAAATACAGATAATGACTTACTGTGTTTATAACTAGTACTCATTACAGGAAGTTTTCATTGTGAAAATGATGTGTTGATGAACCTTAAATCTTAGAGTGTTCTGCAGCTGGTAGGGCAGAGGTTTTAAATTATTCATAAATTGTGTTGAAACTAAATTAGATTGCTTTGGAGCCTTCCAAACTACATGTACATGCAGGGGTCACAACGAAAACTCAGGATTTTTATCATGGAGGTGAAGTTACCTGTGTCTGTTAATCTCTTTTTTTTTCTTTTGTATATTCTTGCAATGGCTGGTTAGCACAAATGTTGATGGAGACTGAGCCATTGTTCATATTCATGGTGTTGAATTTAAAGTATAACTGTATTCAATTTCCTTTACCATAAATGTGTTTTACCTGTGGAGCTTATGGAGGTCAGATTGTAGTATTTTGATTGTGTGGGGAATGTCAGGATATAGCTGCCATTCAATTTGTTTTTGCTTTAGTGTCTTGAGATTTTGAAACTGGCATTCAATGGCAAAATTTTTTTTATTCACCATTTACATGTATCTTAAGTTAAGGCATGAGATAATTTTCACTTGTGGTTATTTTATGGTGGTCAAATATTAGCATTACTTGGTTACCTCAGTCAGAAATTTTTAAAATCAAGATAATTTGGTAGATACTAACAGACAGAAGATATGATTCCATTGTTCTTAAGTTAGGGTTTCATTAGTAGGACCAACTTTCATTGTCTTTACTGAACCAGAACACAATCATGTATTACAGTTTCTTTTGATGAATTGTTTTCCCTTATTGTTAAGGTCTTTGAGTGGCATATTTTCATCTATGGTTAATTTCAGAGCAAATTATTTTTACTAGCAAAGTACAGGGAGATATTTTGTTTGGTGAAAGTTTCTGTGTCATGCTAATTACTGTAGGTACCTTCATTTATGCTATGAAAGTGAACTTTTTACTTCAACAAAAACTAATTTGGATGCAGGTTGTTTCATGGTAGTCTACTAAACTGCATGAATAATAAATGTCACTGAGTAAGAATTTGTTCTTACATGAAAGACCAAAGTAATAATAAATTATTCATTAAGGTTATGCACTTCTAAAGGGAACCTTCTAAGTAACCTTTTCACAGTTTCCATGTCATATAGAAATATTTTATTTTCTTAAATCAGTGATTTGGTAAAGAATTAACTCCACTTTGAAAAGTAATTATCAGTTATCTTGAAAATAGTCGATTTGATGATTGAAACAGAGATCATGTAGTTGGATTTTCTCTGAGAAGTGTTACTAGAAATGTTTTCACTACAGGATTTTATTCCTTATTTCTGCTCAATTTATACAGCACTTTTCAGAGTGCAGATTTGTCTGCATATTTGTCTGCATAGTCTCTCATAAAAAGTCAATTTGCTTTGTAATGTTCTCAAACTCCTTCAGAGGTCTTTAATTATTGCCATAAAACAACTTTTGATAATCCAAATAACTGTTCACAATGTTTTCTGGTCTGATTTTATCAGGTTAGCAATGGCGTCCAGTACACACAGCCACTTTCTCTTCAACCGTACACAGAGGTTGCTTTAGCTCCACCCATGGACCCAACCCAACCATTACAATTACAGACACAGACACACCAGCTTCAGCCATCAGAACTTCTCACGCAGAATGGTGACACAGGACCAAAGAGGCTACATGTCACCAACATTCCTTTTAGATTCAGAGATCATGACTTAGTTCAAATGTTTGGGGTTTGTATTTCAATTATTGTTATATTGTTCCTAGAACTCTTAAACTCCTAACAATATCAGACAGGTAATTGATGAGAGAAAAGAAAAATATTGAGTATTAAATTACATGTAACAGTTGATCCAGTACTAATTTCTCTCAACCAACATCACAAGAATTATGTGGAAGACAGTAAAGGGAATTACTAATGAGAAATTGAGAGTGAAAGGGTAAGCTGTATTTCAGGATGTTCATTTTGCATCAAAGATCCGAGAATTCTCCTGCTATAAATTGCTTAACCCTCCCCCCCCCATATAATTTTCAATGGCTTGTCAAGTACTTGGAGGTGAAGGACATTCCTTTTTACTCTACAGCATTTTGCTATAATATCCATTTCCTCTGGAAAACCCTGGTATACTGAGCTTTTTTATGTGTGTATCATAGAAGCAATGTAGATCTGGTTGATTAAAGCAAATTAAAAGAATTCAGTGAGTTTTAATAATGACTGGCAGCCATTTTTTCTCAACAATATCACTCCTAAATCAAACATCAAGGTCCTGAGAATAAATGAAATTGATAGGAATACTTTTAATTATAATTAAAACGTTAAGCTACTAATAACTAATATTACTAGTATTAAAATAACAATAAAACTAATTGGGTTATTTACAATTCAGGAAAAAAGGTCACTACATAATTTGAACTAAAAATAAAACTAGAAGAAATCATGTGCTTATATTAATGTAAAATTTACAATAAGGCTAGTAAACTATTTACTAATTAAAAACAATAAGGCTAAAGGGCTAATTACAAAACTCTTGCAGAAATAAATGAAATTATCTGCAACTTAAAAAGCTCTTTTCTGTGTCAGTACAGTAGGAAATGTATAGAGAACTGTTACACTGTTACACTGTTACTTTATGAAGAATGCACACACTTACATGTATTTTTACATGTAAAGAGTTGATTCCCAAAATCTGAAAGCTAACTTTCCCAGCAGTATTTGTTAGTAAACTATCTACAAAATTCAGATTTATTTTTTCTAGATAACTTTCCATGATAAATTATTTAATTTTTTTAAGTTAAGGAGAGGTTACATAGTGTGTACTATGCAATTGAGTACTTGGATCTTGTGTCCAGTTGCGATGGTAACTTTGCATCTGGTCTTTCTACAGCAATTTGGTTCTCTAGCAGATTGTGAAATCATCTACAATGAAAGGGGATCAAAGGTACTGAAAAGTTGAAAATGTCTTGACTGATGCATGTAGTTCACAAATGACTTAAACATAACTATATCATCAAATGGGACAAATGATTCATGTGATACAATAAGTAGATGGGGGGGGACTCAGTGCAATATTTCATGTACATGATATATTTGTCTGTTCTAGTCTATTTAGACATCTTTCAATTTTTTTCACATACATCATCATGCAATCTGAATAAGATTGGAGAGAGGGGTGGTTGGGGGGGAGGTGGGCTTAACAAATGCTAACCCAAGAGGGTAGAGGTCAAATGTTTCCCTAATTTTTGCCCCCTTTCCTAACTTCAAAATAAACGGCTGCGTACCTTCAGTTTTATCAATTTACAAGTACTTAAAAATACATAGTGTAGGTATACTAGCTATTTTATCCAGCCTGTCTGGAACAAATGTATGGAACTGGACAAGTGATCGTGAACTGTTCTTTCTAGGGTTTTGGATTTGTGACATTTGTGAACTCTGCTGATGCTATGAAAGCAAGAGAAAAACTGAATGGAACTATTGTGGATGGAAGAAAAATAGAGGTTGGATTCCAGTTATTGTTAGTTTAGTTAACGTTTTTGCATTCCACCTTTTGTACTCCACTTTATGTTCCTGCACGTATGCATGATTCCACATTGACACTGATAATTTTTCACTTAGGTAAACAATGCAACCCCCCGACCGCACGCCAAAAAAAGTCCGGGCCAAAATCGAGGACCCTTAACCAATGGTACAGCATGCTTTCTTCCCCTTCTCCTTTCATTGATCTGTAGTGGCATGTACTGTGTGTAAGAGATTGCATGTGTCCTCCTGTATGGAGTACTGATTTGGCAGATAAGTATTGTATTCAGTAAAAGGTTCGATTCCTCAAGAATAAACTGTCGGCCAGATAGAAGTGATATTTTTTCATTAATTTATTTTTGTTGCTTTCATAACTGTGAGCAGCTGAAATTTTGATGTGGGAGTTTATTCTACAGTACTTGATTTGACTCTTTGGCTCAACTAATTGTCGTAACGTTATATCTTACCACAAAGTAGTAAGAAATTATCGCAAAGCTTAATTTTTATGAACAACTTTGTTCTAAAATTAAGATATTATTAGGAAAAAAAACGTAATATCTTATCACAAAGTAGTAAGAAATCATCGCAAAGCTTAAGTTTTATGAACAACTTTGTTCTAAAATTAAAATATTATTAGGAAAAAAAACGGCTAACTTCGCACATCTGAGGTTAAAAATCTTATGTTGACGATTTTGGTGAAACTCAAGAGTGTTTTTTTTTTTTTAGTTTGTTTGCCGTAAGATTGAATGAGGATTTATCTTCGTTTCGGATCTTTTTTTTCTAAAGTATACTTTTCATTCATCCTCCATTTTGTAGGTAATTTTACCAAAGTCATGTCGCTCTAAGAACAGTCAGTTATCTCATCAAAGTGCCAAGTTTGGATTTCACTAAGTTTTGCACTGTTATGTTCGAAATGAAGAGTCAGTGAACTCCTTGAACTTATTGCCTTTCTTCCAGAGCAAATTTAAGATATCAAACGCACTTCTCAGATATTTACTTTCATTTATTTGTTTGAAAATGTCATCAATATTGAACTTTTGAAATCAGGTAATGAGAAAATTGATGATCGTAACCGACTGTGTTTTTCAGGTACAGCGTTTCGTGGCATGAGAGGAGTTCGTCGTCCTTCGCCGGTTAACAAGTTTAGCACTCGGTCTATACAGCCCCAGGTCACTGCGTATAATGGCGCCTACACTGGGTAAGGACAGGAAATTTAAAAAATCCTTTGGTCAACCTCCACAGTTATTACTTTAATTGTGTAAAACATACTTCGACCAATCCAAACCAAAGTTATTAGAACAGTGTATCAAAACAAAGGAAAAATATCACGAAGATCAACGAATGCGCAAAGTGAAAGCAAGTAAACTGTGTGAAGCGCGGATAGACTCGATTGTCTCGACTTGACTTACTTCTTTGCTCTATATCATCTTCTTGGAAACTTACCTTAGCAAACACTTTTGCCTACCTTTGCAAACTCTTGCTGATGGGGTGAATTCAACTTGTACCGCGTATTTTAAAGTAACGAATCATAACTGAAACCAAACTGAACACGAGTGAAATCAACTGCCAGTGGCAACCAAGTTTTAATGGCGGGAAATTATGAGATTGTTATTGGTTCAACTCCCAGTGTACTATGCAAGAGATTGATCTTTTTTTCAACAAGTGATGTTCAACTCTCTCTTTTCTCGCCTTTATATATTGCGCAAAAGTGAAGCTTAATTTAGTCAGAACTACTGGTTTAATATAACTATGTATGATATCCGAAAATATCACTAAGACGGGCAATTGAGGGCAATCCTGCCTTAATACAGGGTTTACTGTGGCTCATGTAAGCGTGCTGAGAGCTTAACCAATAACAGTGTCACGCTAGTGATTTCCCGCCAAAAAAACGCGGTCGCCACTACGCATGGAAGTCAGAAATTCGAGCCTCTCTTGGAGGAAAAGCTAAAGCCTTAGATCCACGGAGCTCAGTTTTCCGCGGGTTTTTAATATTTCACTTTCCGTCGTCTTTACCTTCAGCATTTAGCTTGTTTATTGACGTAAAACTGCATATGTTTTGTGGAAATTCGCCTTGTCTATATTTAGTGGAAATCTTCGGTTTGTTGTTTTGCAATTTTAGCGGGTGTTGTTTTGCAATTTTAGCGGGTGTTGTTATCCCTTATTTTAAAGATAATTTGTTCGTGTTTTTTTTTTTTATTTTCACCATTGTAGAAGTTATGATGGATATGAACAGACGTATGCTGCTAGGAGAATAGGGAGTTTTGGGTAAAACTGGATTTTATTGTCGTTGTTTGTTTGTCTGTTTGTCTCAAACTCTATTCTCGCTCTTTCTGCCTAGATCTTCTGAAGTTATTTATTTCTTGTGTATTCCTCAACAGATATGAGCCAGCGCCCTATGGAGGTGGATATGGTCCGGTAAATATCTTACTTGTCTTACTTACTGATAAAATAACAGAATTATTCTTGTTTTGCAAACATTTTCTCATCATCGCGTGCAGTTAACGTATTCTTCATGTCTTTTCATGTCAAGATAACAATTTCGTCATGGTAACCAGGTTTATCCATACGGCGATTGTGCACTTTACCTATAAGTTTCTTTAGTCGAAGCTTATGTTGAAATTAGGTTTTCTTTTCTGGCAAGCACAAAATGTAACTGTAAAAAGACTATGTTTCTTCTTTTGTATGGGAAGTTGGAACAACACTCTCCGCAACCTCGCTTCTCTTCCTTGTGAAGAGATATTATCAGTACTCAAATACAAAATTCGTATCGACACGCCTGTATTTTTATTACGTTTCCTTTTCAGGCTGTATGTGATTTAGGATTAACAGTATGATAATTTTACCTCTTTGACACTCAAACAGTAGTTGGCTCAATTATGCTTTCAGTAAGCCTTTTAGCTCCTTAAAATGATGGTTATCTAAAATAGGGACAATTTGTCTTCGACAGATCTTCCTAAAATGTTGTTTTCTCTCTCCTTTCCAGCCAAGCACGTACGCAGCCCCCACCCCTGCATACCGTACAGCAGCTCCTCCCCAGGCCCCACCCTCAAGTTACAGCACAGGCTACAGATACGCTCCATATTAAATCGCACCATCATCAACGTGGCAGCCCTTTGAAACACGACACAATAGAACCATATTATCCATATCGTAGACACAAATCAAGAAGACCTTGAGATGAATGCTCGTTTTAAGCTAATTATTACGTTCGTTGCGTGGATACAGCCGTAGGACATTGTAATTTTGTAAATAATTGAAGTTTTTCTTGGAATTTCGATGAATGATACCTTGTCTCTAAAAGGAAATGTCATCCTTTTTAGGCGAATTTCTTTCACCGGAACAATGCTCAAGTCAAACGAAGACATCGTTGACGCTTTTTGTCAAGATAAGGAAGAAGATATTTGGATTTTTTACTGAGAAAGGGCCATTGTCTTTGTAGTTTGTAAATCTTGTTAATCTTTTTGCAATTTAGTGATGACAGTGCCAGTACTGTTATCGTCAAATGTAACTAACGAAGTACATTATAGGAGACAAAACATGATTCCAAACAAATTCAATTGTGCCAAGCATAGGAGCAAAACAAACATAATGATGACGAAGAATTTAGAATGCATTGCTCATTTCCTTTAATTTGATTAGTTATTTCTCTTCAGGCAAATACGGTAACAGCATTTTAAATGTAACACTTGAGATGAGATCCTAAAATGTGATCATTCTAAACTTCTAAATAGTCAGTCTCGTATGCTGTTTATTGAAGGCAAATTTTCCCCATAAAGACGTAGGTACTTTTCAAATTTAAGCGAGGCACTAACATTGGTTGGTTTATGTAGAGCTTCGTGACGACATTGGAACAAGACACTTCCTTTTTACTAGAAAAGAATCTTAGAGTAATCTTTTGCTACAGTAGACGAACGCTTAAGAGGAAGATTGAAAGAAGAATCAAGGTTCCTCTTAAGAGGGGAAGACATAAACCGCACGTGTAGATAACCAAGGGTTTTGATTGGGTGAGAGTCCTTAGATTTATATTAAGATGTGAAGACAGTGATGTTAGTAGCAATCGTATGAGAAAGTTGAAATATTGTATCATAAACTGAGTTGTGTTTTTTACCGAACGCCTTACGAGAATATCTCTTATCGCACTCATCAAGAGGTGATCATAAAACAGAAATCCCAGTTTCAGGTAGTGGTTTTCGTCAAAAAGTTACTAAACTAGGTGAACTGCCTCCGTACTAGGTCTTAATGAAGCCTGACATATTCTCAGGTTGTAGATACAATGGAGGTCTAACTTGCTTTTATCATGAGTTAATGATAAAAAAAGAAAAGGTTGAACTTGTCTCTTGTCATTTTTCCATTTATTTTGAGGAAGGAAAGTATTGTTATTGTTTAGGATTGCACTGTTCATAATCAGGGGCTTTTTTAGAAGATCTTGTGTAGAATTTTTGCTAGGACTACCCCTTCAACTCTTTTACTCCCAAGATGTGATTGTTTACCCCCCACCCCATCCCCCTAGAGCTACTTTACATTTCCTTCTAAAGTAGTTACGAGAATTGGGTGTTGAATCACGATTACATCTACCTGATAAGTTTGAGTATTCTCACTACCTGTTTGCTGGATAATGTATGGATAAGGGACCTAGATTGACCTCGAACACAAACCCAGTTTTTCAGTCAGCACCAGCATGTAGATGGTTTCCTCCCAAATAACCCGGGTGGTTCGAAATTCAGTATTAAATTATAAACGAATTAAGTGCAGACCAACATTTATGTCAAAGAAATGACAGATCTCCTTGCGGAAATCCGAAGAGACGATGTAGATGATTACGACCGTACCCATGTCAGGTTTTTTTCAGTACCATGCTACCCTCTTAGTGTACTGTCGGGTTTTAAGATGCAATTGAATGATCTTGTTGCCAACAGTGCCTAGGGGAGGAGATGGAAACAGCGGGACAATTGTAAAAAACTTATGACTAATAACAAAAATTCTCTTGATAAAGATCTTTAGACAAGGTCTCAATTCATAAATAGATGAATATATCAGTCCCCATTGAACTTTACCCTTTAGAGTTCTTCTTTAACAAAACTGACGTAAATAGCTGTGTAATTCAAGTTTGGGAAGATTCGATAATAAGAGAACAAAAACCATGCTTCAAAACACTACGTGAGACATGCAAACATGACGCACGATAACAATGATGACACTTTCACACACGTAAGTACGGCCGCCCCGCTCTCCTAGCTCGTTCAAAATGAAATCAATATTGTGCCAATGATAGTTTTGTAAGGCATACGAATTCTTTCTTATATATAATAAGACAGGTATATATTTGCTTCGTTATGGCACTTTGTATACGTCAATCTGCCTATAATTTTATCAACCCAAGGCTTCCGGCTATTGACAATAGCTCTCAAACGTCTGCGATATTGGACCGATGGTGGGCACACCTTTTGAGTTTATATTGCCAAGTGATCACGCCAGAGCTCCGTTTACAGGATATTTGTTGATCAAATTAACAAAATACATTTGAATAACTTGAATTAATATATGTACCTTTTTTTACCTTACCTCCCTTTTGGTACATTCTTTTTTAGATTCCCACCAATTTTTTTTTTGTTTTTTTTTGTTTTTGTCATTCAGGTGCAGCGCATGTCCCTCGCGCTCGGATGTTTAACGATAAATTATTATTAGCAAACAGATGCACAATATTCATAACTATGTTTCTTACTTTGGCGGAAAAAACATTTTTTTGAGAATTTATAAAAATATATTTATGCAAAAACTAGAAATGTAATCAGACCTGAGCTAACTGTGTTAGTTGACCTGCAGGAGATCACGTGTTAATTCTATACACGAGGATGAAAATCATACCAAAACTGGGTATTTTAAAAAAAATCTGTTTACAAGTTAAAAAAACATACGTAAGAAAAACATTTGCATTCTGAGAGAGAACTATTTATGTGAACTTTTTTAACCCATAACCCAATATCGCCATTTTGTGGTATGAGTCTAGTATGAGCATTGGTCACACAAGTATCTCTAAAACGAAAGATCTTTCATGGCGGACTCGAAAAAGATCGACGATTTAGCCTTCCGATTCTCTAAGCTGAGAGAAAAATGTATTAGATCCGGAGAATCTATTGAAAACATTCGATGGGAGTTCTTGCGAAATGTTTATCGAGTTCCAACAACTCAAGCAAAAGCGAGCGAAAGCAGTTTCTTCACATGGAACAAGATAATTTGGTTTCTGATCCTGCCTGCAATCACTTTGTTCTTAGGTCAGTCGGTTTTGGAATACGACGCGGACGCTAAATGTCTCATTGAACCCGATGACGTGTTTTTGAACGAGTTGGCCCGCAAACCAACCAATTGTTCGCTGCTTTGTGAGGGTGTGAATGAAATACAACGGGTCTCTAATCTTTCTAAGAAGGAGTTCATCTCTACGTACGCATATACAGGGAGACCTGTGGTTATTACCGATGCTGCGCAAAACTGGTCAGCTGTAAATGCGTTCAGTTTCAAGTTTTTTAAGCGCCTGTACGCTAAGAGCGATGAGGCAGATTTGGAGAACACCGATGAGGGATGCCTGTTTTTCCCCTACAAATCTGGTTTTCAGTCTCTAGCACAAGCTTTGAGAATGCCAAAGAAAAGAGCAGAGTGGAAAGGGAAACCATGGTATATTGGCTGGTAAGTAAGGCTGTCTCGCGGTTTTTTTTTTTTCGACAAAGAAGGAAAAGGGCTATTCTACCGAACACTAGAATTGAAGAACGGCATAATAAAGAGTAGTAGTCGGTGACAAATGCATTCCTACTTTATAGAGTGAGGAAAGAGATTAACATATTCGTGATAAGCAAAATACTTTGATTTATACAATATTATTACAAAACTAAGTTTGTTTTATCTGTCGCAGTTTCTTGTAGTGGATCAGTTCAGGGAAATCATCCAAGCATTTTCTCAACCGTTGAAAAATATCTCATGCAATGCGCCCCAAGAACGAATCATGGGAAGCGCTGGAAACTTACTTAGTAGAAAATAATGTTATTAAAAGTTTCGTCTGAAAATGAGTTGAGTTTAATCAAAGGGTGCATACCAATGCTACTATGCTTCTGAAAATGAGTTGAGTTTAATCAAAGGGTGCATACCAATGCCACTATGTTTCTCTGTTTTATAGGAGTAACTGTGATCCCACTGCCCGTCAGGTACTGCGCAAATACTACAACAAACCTTATTTTATACCACATGACGCAGAGACAGGCGATCAAGACTGGATATTTATGGGAGGGCCTGGACCTGGCGCACCCATACACGTAAGTACCATATGACAAAACCTTTTCAAAGCGAGAAGAAACTGGTTCTTTCTTTTTTTAACAATAGACCGCACTTTCTATCGGTTTACTGGCGATATACTTAATTCAAAATATTTTTGTGGAAACGCTGTCTTTTATTAATTTTTTTAGAAAGAAGTATCGCAGAAAGGAGTCTTGATTTTTTTCACCGTCTTTAACAAAACAGACGCAAAGTGCGCGAGAAAGCGCATTACTATGAAATATAACCAACGCAACACTATGTCACGTAAATTTAGATTGACATGGTGCAGCGTCCTTCATGGCAGGCCCAGCTGTCAGGACAAAAGATGTGGACTCTTATTCCTCCTCCAGAGTGTGAACACATCTGCAGGACAGTACAAGTAACAATGCAGAAAGGAGAAATCAGTAAGTTAAGAGGAAACGTAAGACAGAAAAACTCCTCCTACTTTATCCCCGAAACACATTGGACAAATTTAAAATAATTTCAATTTTTGGTTTGATCGAAGCGATAATAGAAATCGCAGCGACTTGTGTTTAAAGCAGTGCACACTGAGCAGTGTGTCGCAAGAACCTGCCACAACTAACCGGCGTGCCATAACAATTACGGCGCGCGTTGGGGAAGAAAGAAGTGATGGGAAGGGCCTTCTCGTTAGTCCCCAATCACCCCCCACCCCCTCGCCATCTTGATGGTGCTCGAGTGGGCACTAGCTCTCGTCATCCCGCCTGGGAACCAGTCGGGGTGAGGTTATGTCTTTACTCTCTTCTTTCCCTATATCCATCTATTTTTATTGTCCCTCTATTCCAATAGGACCCTCATAAGTGTCAACCAGAAAGAAACATTTCCTTGTTGGCATATATGCCCAGATTCTCATGGGGCAGAATGGGTGGACATCATCTCCAATAATTGATTCAATGCATCACTTCGTTGCCAGTTTCTTTTGAAGTTTTCTTAAAGCCATAGTTAAATGCCATTTTCTTTTTTGTTCTGTTCAGCCTCTTTGGTAAACCATTGCAATTTTTTTTTCTGTTTCAGTTGTACTAGACACCAACCAGTGGTTCCACTCCACGAAAATTATTCCCACGGGAGAATTGAGTATCACAATTGGAGCAGAATACGACTGATATTTTATAATGGAGCTGTTTTGTGTAAAGCAACATTAAGGAAAAATATCCGAGATAAATGACATAAGATCTAAATAATTGCAACTCAACGTAAGGGAGAAAATCAATCACGGTAACTTAATTGAGGGTCCAGATTAGGTGATGGTTCTTATGGCAAACGATTAAAATTATGGCCAGTTTACGGCTAACGGTTATAATATCTTTTCACTGTTATCACCACAAAAGCTTTTTTAACTGATTTTTTTACGACTAACGATAGCCGTTATAATTTGTCCATTATTACGCCTAACGGCTAAATCGTTTTGGCCGCCAAACGGTTAACTCCATTGAAGCGCTCTTGGCTATGTAATTTCAAATTCTATCCACTTGACAAAGCATGTATGTAAACTGTTAATCATAGCCAATTAGAATTGCTTACTATTTGACAAATTGATTATAAAGTTATTCGTTTATTTTTCGTGATTCGCTACTGGCCTTCCATTTGGCATTACACTATCTGTGAAACACTCACTCTTTCCAAAATCAACCTATAACAAATAGGAAATTGCCAAAACTGAAGTAATGAGTCTTATAAAATCGTTACTTCATCTTAAAATTAAAAAACAAGATCATTTCATACTTCGCGTCATGTGAGGTTTCCTGCTGTAATAACGATAACGCTAACGGTACGATATTGATAACGAATAAGATAACGATGACGATGATGATGATGATGACGCTCATAACGATGACAATGACGCTCCTGGCGATGACAATGACGCTCATGACGATGACAATGACGCTCATAACGATGACAATGACGCTCATAACGATGACAATGACGCTCCTGGCGATGACATTGACACTCCTGGCAATGGCGATGATGATGACAGTACCGTTAAACTCACTCGCAGGCTTCAATGTATTTTAACTGCATGTCGTTACATCAAGGGCCTTGATGAACTCAAAGTTTTATATCTCATCAGGAAGACGAACACTGCTTCTTTTAATTTTGCCTGTTAATTACAAATTGTTATCTTATTTCGTTACAAAAACTTTTCAAATCTGTGAGACTTGTATTTCATACTACAAGGCATTCCGCTTTGCATGATATTCCTCTGTTCCATCTTCCGTCTTCTGTAAACGTATTTCGGACCTTGCTCGCTTCGCAACGTTAGCGGCTCTTTTGGCCATTACTCGCTGATTGAAATGGTAAAATGTTCTCTCTTCGAATAATAACAATTTTTCTTTAAAGTTTCCAGGATGTTCAAATCCATAGGAAGCAGTAGCTATCAAAATTTCGGTCGATAAACATTAAATTGTCAGAATATAGCTGATTGACACGTCCCAACCGTACCTTAGGTGAGTGTTAAGTCACGATTGATACCAACATGTCAACATCTATAAAAACGAATTACATCTAGCTTAACTTCCCAAACTAATCGTTCTTATAAAACAGACTAAATGTACGAAAATCATCGTGACTCGGTTGATTGTGCAAGAATGGCTAAACATGATTCCTTATTTAGGGCAATATAACACCGATAACTCGAATCCCCAAACTTCAGCCATTTTTCGTTTCCCTGTATTGAAACATTTTCAGCAAGATGCCAGCGTCAGCTACTTAAGAAGCAAAAATAAGATGATAAGATGGTAAAGAACGTGAATTTAGCTGTTAATATTTCGCTGTTAGCATTTCGTAGTAATTTAGCACCTTGCAGGGGAGGGCGATAAAGGACGAAGAAGTCTGGAAACTGGTAACAAGGAAATCGACGACACTGACCTACCACTCATAATAGTAAGCATCAAGCTGTGACTTGATCAATATTTATGATGTAGCGGCTTGATATCTAGGTGAGAATACGAGTTTAATTTACAGACAAAGCATACGTTTCCTTCCTCCCTGTTAATGGCGACTGCAACGCGTGTCGAAGAACTCACCGACCTGTTTTCTGATCTCCGCGAAAGATCATTGAAGAGCGGCGAAAATGTTGAAAACATTCGAGCGGAATTCCTACGGCAGGTAGGAACGGATCCTGCACAATCGAGTTTTCTTCATAAGAATAGCCTAAAATGGTTCGTGATTGTTTTTTTACCCGTTGTTTTGGCTTTTGCTGGTTACTACTTCGACGTGATCGAGCTGCTGCATGTTAAAGAAGAACCATGTCTTATGAACGTCAATGAGATTTTCATCGAGGTCACAAGGAAACGAACAAACTGCACTCTTTTGTGCGAAGGTTTGACCGAAATTCCCCGGGTTTCTGGCTTATCGAAACAGGATTTCACTTCAAAATATGCGTACACTGGAAGACCCGTCGTTGTCGTCGACGGTGCGAAAAACTGGTCAGCCATTGATCGCTTCAACTTTACGTTCTTCAAAGAACTCTTCGACAAGAACAAAGACGCGTATCGAGTAAACGAAGAGGAGTGTCAATTCTTTCCCTATAGAACAGAGTTTATTTCTCTTGAAGAGGCCATGAACATGTCAAAAGAAAGATCAGAGTGGAAAGCAGAGCCATGGTATTTCGGTTGGTGAGTTCCAAAAGTAAAATTTACGAAAATGTAACATCGAAGAATACGATTGAAGTTGAAAGCAGCTGACAATATTGTGTTGGAATAGCCATTTGATTTCGAATTAGATCCTTTACTTTGTCAGCTGTTACCGTGACTATGGGGACACTTTTTATTTCAATTCAAAATTAACAGTGTTCTTTAACAAATCAAACCAAAATTTTAAAGTCAGATTTTTCAGTGCTATTCTGATCTCCCGATGAGTATAGTTTGAACACCTGTCGAATGGAAAAGTAAATTTCTAGCTGCATTTATACAGCTGTTTTTAAATAGATCTAGTCTCATTTCCGTGTAAATAAACTACTTCTAGCTGACTAAAATGCATCTAAGAAACGCCACTCTAATTTTTTAAGATTTTTTTTGTGTACTTTTCGTTTTTCCCTCAAGGTAGATTTTATTTTAAATTTTTTTTTTTCTTATGCAACACAGGATGTAAACATAATTAACGACGGACTCGTTTTTGACAGCCTTCATTAGGTCAAAGCAAATTAGCTTCGTGTTCTTTGATTCGTGCCTTATTTTCCACGAAAATCTGACTGTCTTTTGTCCTTTTTCTCTGGCATAAGTTTTCTTATGGGTTTTGAGTTTATGTTAAATCAAAAAATATCCATTAGTTCGCAAAGAACTGTTTTCCTTTAACATCATCACAATAAGTCTAGACAGAAGTGAATTTTAACTCCAAGCATTGTAGACTTTAGTAATTTATTTCTGTTGAAAGGAATTAGTTTGGCACTCTTTCAACTAAACATACGAGTCTTGTTTTCTGAGGAGACAACAAGAGTAAAAAATTGAAAAGTTTTGAGTGAACTCTGAAGCACCATATGGTTTGCTTTTCAGCCTTTTAAAACAACATTTTGAATTGAAGGTCGGTATAGCAGCAGATGTGTCACAAATTAAAAAAATATACAACATGTTTAAAAACATGTTTCGAAAATTTTATAGACTGTCATTTTCAGTTCTGATGTATACAAAGTACAAAGTTGAATCTAAAGTGTATAACAAAATGCTCATGGGACAAAACAACGATAGAAATAAGACAATATATGCAATAACAAGGAAAGTTCTAAATTAACCTGATAAAGTTGATGATCAAGTGGAGGTTGCTCCCAATGAATGTAAATAGCTTCTTTGATTTTAAGTTGGAGAGTTGTGGAAACATGATCTAAGATGCTAATTAAAACACTCATCAGAACATAGGGTGCGACATTGTTGAGAATTTTGTAATTGTCTGAAAATGTGAGAGGTCCTATCACTAACCAAGTACTCATGCATACATGTGGATAAATGTCAAGAGGTTTAAATTTAAAAAAAAAGAAAATTTTGGACACCAGATCAGAATTAGGATATTCACAGCATGAACATTTGAAAGTTAGGATTTTTGTGATTACTTTTTTCAGTTAGTTTCTTCAATATTAGCCAATATCAGTTTTTATCTTTACATTAAGACTTCTTTGGGCTTTGCCTCTTTTCAGGATAACTATAATAACCCTTTCACTTCCAAAGGTTACTAAAGAGGAATTTGCCAGAGTATGCCATCCATGAATTTTCAAGTAAATTGGTGTAATTGATCCAAACTCAGTTTATCCCAAAAGTTGATGGAGAACTCCTGTTTCTGGCCTGTTTTTTTTTTTTTCACCATTAGGTTTTCCTTACAGGAACTTTGGACCATAACAACTGTATACCTTTGTTATTTAGGAGCAATTGTGACCCTGTAATCAGACAAGAGTTGCGCACTCACTATCAGTTACCATATTTCTTGCCAAAACAATCAGAAACTAGTGAACAGGACTGGATTTTCATGGGAGGGCCAGGACCTGGGGCCCAGATACATGTAAGTTAATTCTTATGGTTAGCTTCTTGCATGTGTTCTATTGTACAACTCTGATTACTTTTATTTGAGTTATTATTTTTATTCTTACTCCTGAAATAGACTTTAAGATGATTTTCTCCGTAAGGCGATAATATGGTTAATTAATGATGGTAACTATTCCAAAGTTTTAAAATTTAGAAGATGTTACCACAGAAACTGTTAAGCAAAAACTTTCCCTAAGTTTATTTTCAACTGCTTATGACTTCAAAAACTCATGAAGTGTTGTGGTTTTGAAAAATGTATTGAGCATGTTTATTGACCAAAACTTTGATACCTTCTTTTTGAAGATTGATAGCGTGGATCGTCCATCGTGGCAAGCCCAGCTGTCAGGACAGAAGATATGGACTCTTATCCCTCCACCTGAGTGTGAAGAAGTCTGTACTCCCAAATTAGCAACTACAATGAAAAAGGGAGAAGTCAGTAAGTAATAAATAATTAAATTTTTTTTCTGTCCAATGCAAAAGGAAACAGCAAATGACCTCAAAGATAGTATGAAAAGGTAGAAGCATGAAATTCAATACAACTTGTGCAAATATTTGACTTTGATTGCTCTTCTGGTTTGTACATTTGCTGGACTCTGTAGATATTGTGAAGAACTGTTTTGTTGTTGTTGTTGTTTTAACACACTTTACAAGTTTGTTGGTACAAAATTTATCATTTTGTCTCATTATAAATACTGATTTGTATAGCATGTGCATACTGTTCACCAGTTTTATTATCTATTAAATGTAACCCTCTTTTTACACTCTTTTGATGTTGTACACTGAGAAAAAAATTCAAGTATTTGAAACCCACAACCCCACAACAAACAACCATTCATTTGACAACATTTATTGTAACATATTAGATAGAACCAGTAATTCAGTGAGTGAAACAGTGAAAAACCCACTCCAAACAACTATTTTCCTATTGATAATATTGAATATTCACAGGATTCACTTTTCTGAATCTAAAAAGCAATCCTTAAAATTATAATTTGGATATATCAACAAAGTTGAAATGGTAAATTGGCCACCGTAACGATTACAAAAGCCCTTCGTCGGAGCTCCATCGAGCGTTATATCCAAATTATTTCGTTACCACCACCGACACAGCCCCAAACAGTTTCTTTAGAAACTATCAGCCTTTAATCCTTAACATTAGATTTTCCTGCTTTTAATTTGCAGTTATTGTGGACACAAATCAGTGGTATCATTCAACAAAGGTTTTGCCTGGAGAGCTCAGCATTACTATTGGAGCAGAATATGACTAAAATGATTTCCCTTAACAATGTGAATATTTTTTTTTTCTGAAAACTGTCTTTTTTTCCTTTTTAACAAAACTGTTTGTTTCAGTAAGTAAATAATTTTTTTTTAATAACTTGTAAGATGCAATTGCTTATGTTCTGAAATGAACTGACCAATATTGTTTGGCTGAAAGAAGGTCATGATGCATTTCAAAGGAGATACCGGGTAATTAGTTAATAATATATCATGATAGACAAATTTGAGCAAGATAGAATAAAATAATTTAATTGATATTAGAGTAAGTCTGTAAGGAAAAAACTGTGCCACTCCAATTACTTGACAAGTTGTTCACTTGTGGCAGGAAGAATAAACAAGATCTAGCTTAAAATGTAGTTGACCCTTACCCATTTAAGTTACTGTACATGCTATTTAATAAGATTATATTTAATTACTTTGCATCCAGTTTGACATTCAACTTCTAGCAGCATTGTAAGTTTCACCTCAGAACAGCTTCACTTTCAGACCATTACTGAGATGAGGTCTTTCAATACTTAATAAGTAGTTCATTCCTGAAGCAATCAATAGAATTCACAGCTGACCTCTTGGCAATTTTTAAGTTCTACTTATAGTTTCTGATACCCATTTATACTTAACAACTCAATGTTGCCATGCATCTGTTCAGTAATATTTAGCTATAGGTCACAGATGACCTCAAATTGTGGTACTACAGGTGTAAGTGCAGCATTCCCATTTACGTTCATAATTAAGTTTTTCTTATTGTTTTTCGCATTCTTTCACCCACTTATATTTATATTGTTAGATTTTTTTGTATAATTTTGCTTTGTTTAATTTTATTTTGTAGAAGTTTCTTGGTAAAATTCAGCACTAGAGTATTAGAGTCCTTGAGATCAATGTCAATTATTTTACTGCGATCAACTCCTAGTTTTCCGTCCTTTGTGCGATGTTTGTAAGTGTTTTTCCTTGTCCAATTGCTTTTCCTCTGTTGTTTACATTTCTATTCCTTGTACTTGTATTTTGCAGTAATGAGTAATTATTTTGTTCAGCCTATTACATAATCGTGGTTTATGACAGCCACCACTGACAAAAGAAAAGTTTCTTACCTAATGACACAACACAATGGAGGAGTTTAGGGCCCCCAACCTAAATATTTTATTGCATAATGACCACTTTGCCACCTGCCCCTCTCAAAGAGGTTTGCAATTAATGACTGACAAAAACTTAGATGACATGATTTAGAATATTCTATGTACAAGGCTAAAAGATTAGGAAAAATTATTAAAATGTTTATGAAGCAAACATTATGGACATGATTTTGAATAGCGAGGTATAGGCTTGCTAATCAAGAGCTATGCAGGAGATGAACCCAGGCCTCTCTCTGGGGGAGCTATCAAAAGTAAAACACACAAACCTAACTGAGTCAGAGAGAAATATTTTTGGACTGTCAAATAGAATACACAGACATACAGTAACAAGTTGGAAGAAGTATTTAATATACCATAGAACTTACCAGGTAATTAAAAGTATACTCAAAGAGTAAGTAATTTAATAATAATTCATAACATTGATGTTTACGATAATTGTGCTACCATTAGATCTAAAAAAATAAAATGTGGGTAATAATAATAATAATAATAATACCTTTATTTAGACACAATAATGTTTAAAGCTGAACAGCCTGTGGGGTCATGTGTAAATCCAAATAAACTCTAAATTAAATAAATTCAAATGATGATGGTTTTTGAGTAGAGGGGAAAACCGTAGTACCTGGAGAAAAGCCTTCGGAGCAGAGTAGAGAACCAACAAACTCAATCCACTTATGATGCCGGGTCCAGGAATCGAACCCAGGACACATTGGTGGAAGGCGAGTGCTCTCACCACTACGCCAACCCTGCTCCCCAATTGGGTCAATTCATGCCTAACCCTAAAACGGAATGCGGACAGAGGGTGTCCTACTTCCGTTTTATATATGACTGGATGTCCCTCCCAGTATTTTTAAGAAGGCCAATGCCATGCACAATTTTTAAGGAAAACCTTACATGATTCTTAATGGATAAATACTTTAAATGATGGATAAAACTTAAGATATACGCAGGTTTAGATCTGTGACAATTGTATTTCTTATTTTAGCTTTTGATACTTTTATTTTTACAGAGGACCTCCCTGAAAACCAGGTATTTACGTGACAGGCGCTTCCTCCTTAAAGATTGTTTATTATTATTATTATTATAATGGAACAAATTTCATAGTTCTGGAGAACAGTCCACCTTGGGATATCATGCCAGACCCTGTCAGGTTACCTGCCTGAGACCCTTTCAGCTACAAAGGATGGTGCTTCACAACCCCTAAAATTCATACTGCGTTTTTTTGGGAATTATCAATTTGTCACCTTAGTTTTCTTTGTTAAGTTCTTTTTATTATTTTTTTTTAACAGCAATTTCTACTCAAATTTTTTAACTGCCCTAAAAATGCCTTCATTTACAATTCTAAATCTTGCCTCCCTCCATTTCTCCCAAACACCAAAACTTAGCAGTATACCTCTTACAAGCAGAGTCTTAAATCCCACAAACAATTTGAAACCCAATGAAATTTATGTGACTAGTGCACTTCATACCACCCATTCCAGGAGCAAGTTCTTACTTAAGCCAAGCTCTAATTTATAATGATTTCACCAACAAGACTATCTTGGTACTTGATTATGTCTTATCAAAGTATGTACAGAATTTATTTCCTCAATCATCCACAGAATTGACTTCAACAGTAAAAATGTATAGGAGTATAACTGCTTTGTGAGGAATGCAAGCAATGATGATAACAGTATTTACTCTATGGAGGGCTGCAGTATTTATTAATATATTTGCAACTCATTGGACAGGATTCACAAATGTTGCTGAATCTGTATTATTGTACTGTCATTTAGTGCTTTACACTCAAGAGGACTAGAATAAGATAAAAGTTAATGCCAACATGTTACAGTACTTTTTTGTTTGAAGTGCCATCATCCTTGCTCATTGTACAGAGCATGCTATGACAAAGGAAGGTACTTCAATTTCTAACCAGCCATCAAGCTAATTAAAACTCTTTGATTCCCGGTATGTGTACCTCTTTCTATTTGTATTGTAAAAACAGTTATTACAACCATAAAAACCATGAAAAGGAGGTTAAATGGTTCATTGGCTTAGCATAGACATAAAACAACACACTCGAAAAGAAATAACCAGGAGATTTAAGTCATGCTGAAACCTTGGTTTAAAATTAACTTTCACAGTCTGGGCCCCGTTATGCAAAGGACAGATAACTCTATCCAGCAGAGAAATTGCTATCCACTGGATAGGTGTTGACAAAACATACTGTGCCATCCAAAACATAGAAATTTAACCTGCCAATAGCACTATCCACCGTACCAACAAAAGGGGCCAGATGCGCACAATATTTTATTAAAGATACAAGTGGAGCTAACCATAAAGTACTCTTTACCCCCAAAATGGTATTAATTTGTCAATAAGTACTATAACAAGAAATTAGCAATGAAGTGGTCCTTTCTTGACTATAGTGGGACAGACATACCCTTGTAGTGTCGTCAAGTTGGGAATTTGAGTCTGGAAACATTTGTTATTAGACAGTATTGCAAATGTGCCAGGGAACAATTGGGAGTGTTTTTACTTGACTCCTTCAGTACAGAGGGTGCCATACTGACAATAATAGCAATGCCCCAACCAATTCTTAACTTTTCTTTCCAGTTTTCTATGAAATACACTACAATACATGTTGTAATGAAGCTGATCAAAACTGGTAGCTGTAAAACTTTCAATCAAAGACATAAATAACTTAAAGAATTAACATTCTTGATTAATCTTCTCATTTTAGTAATCAAATAAACAGTTGCATATAATTTATTCCACATTCTATGTGTAACTGTGTAAGCCATAACTATTTGCATCAGGACGAAAACAAAAACCTGCCAAGGTATCATTTTCTCTTCATGATGATAACTCCTCACCGTACGATAATCTTTGCAACATGACACTATGCATGCTTAATATAAAACCTCAAACACTATTTTGATTTTATGATAAATGTCTGTCAAGCTTGCCTGACCTGAACAGTGAATCAAGGTCAAATCATAATACCATCAATGAAGTGGGAAAGGAAGTCTAAAAATATCATTAAGAAGCAAAGTATAAAGATCTGTTTTCTTGTTCATTATCATCTGAATTCATAAATGGGTTGACTGTGATCAGGAACATGGACAAGATTTAAGGACTGAAACCTGGGGAGGAAGAAAAGGTGGATTTAAGTAATCTTATAATGTTAATATAGAGTGCTTTTCTATCCAGTGTTC